AGCTGCAGAAGGGAGCTTCTACTTTGGTATTGGTAGCAGCTGCAAATACAGAAAAAAGAAAAATAAATGGTCAAAAGAAAAACTGCCCACAAAATTTCAGAGAGGCAACCAAATAAGGAAGGGCTACACATAAATGTTCTAAATTGCAAAACGCTGTGGCCCAGGAAAGGGTTGGGAGCACAGTGGCGTCTACAACATAGCAGGGTTCCTAACCCAACACGGCCTCTTCCTCCAGCTGCACTGGGGATGCAAAAGAGCCTGAGAATCCTCACAAGCAACCCCACATCAGAGGAGAAGCAAATGGACTAACAATCCTAATTTTTTTTTTTTCTCCAGGTGGTGAACGGAACAACAGGATTGATTCTGATTATGGAAACTCCATATACTAGTGAACAGATAAAAATGCCTTAAAGGGAATGGGATGCAACCTATGAGGTGGAATGAATCTTGGTATGAATATTGAAAACTACTTAAAAGTGAAAATACAACCCAGGTTCCTGAATTCTTCTTTCCTTCACTTTTCATGTCCTCAGGCTACAGGAAAAAATGACTATGAACTGAAATTATCAGCCCTCAAACTATTGCTCAGTGAGAAAAAACAAACTGGCTCAAAAATACTGAGGGAAAGAGACAGCAAAGCACCCAAATTGTATCAGAGCAAGTCTGACTAGAGGTGCCCTAATATTCATTTGATGAAAAAAAAAAATCACTGGAAAACTTTATAAATAAACTGTAAGGGGAAAGAAAGCAAAGCAAAAAGGACCCAGAAGACAAAAAAAGAACTAAGAACAACAAAAGGTAACTAAAGGAACAAAAGGAAATTCTCCAGAAGTGTTTTGAGTTAAAAACATGTATTCACAAAATGATAAAATAATAAAATGGAATGGGAGACTGTAGAACCAATGAAACAAATTGAGGACCGAAGCATCATTAGCACACTAAAAAATAAATCAGAAACAGCCAGAAACAGAGTATTCAGAGCCAAGCAGTGATTTCTAGGTATAGGAGAAAAACTGAAGCGTTCAAATGAAAATGATAAAGGTTAAAGCAATATATATGTAAAAAAAAAAGGAGGGCAAAGATGATCCTAAACAAGGGTAATTGGTCTTCCTAAAGTACAAGATTCAACCAAAGAAAAGGTAACATATTCAAATACATAACAAAAAATAATTTCCTACTGACTTTATAGACAGACTGAGAAAACAAAATTGTAAGAAAATCTGATGCATAACAATCAATAGCAAGACAAATCCTGATTAAATTGATGAACTCAAAGAATAAGAAAAAATTCTTATGCATCTATGCAGAAAAATCAAATTAAAGAAATCAAAGAAAACCTAAATAAATGGTAAGTGATACCATGTTCATGGTTTGGAAAACTTAATATTGTTATCAATTCTCCTAAATTGATCAACACAATTCTTATTAAAATCCCATATGCTTAGCACATGACCCAGCAATTTTACCCTTAATATTAACCCAAGAGAAAGACTTATATTCATTCCAAAACTTGTACATAAATGTTTACAGTGACTTTATTCACAGTCACCCAAAATAATAAACAACTGAAATTTTCTTTGACTAATAAATGGATAAACAGTGGTATATCCATTCAATGAATTACTACGCAGCAATAAAAAGAAAAAGGCTACTGATACAACATGGATGAATCTGAACTGTATTTCTGTTAAGGGAAATAAGCCAGACTCCAAAGAATACATACTATGAAATTCATTTATGAAATTCTGGAGAAAGCTAAACTATAAAGATAGAGAACGTGTCAGAGGTTGCCTGGGGTTGGAGGATGGAGGGGGGTTCACTACAAAGCACAGCACAAGAGAATTCTGGAGGGTGATAGAAATGTTATGAGAACAAAATGATTTTTTTCTTTAAAAAACAGTATTAAGAGACTGGTGAAATGTTGACAATTTTTGAGAATCATTGATGATAGTACATGGGTGTTAATCTCTACTTCTGTGTATGTCTGACAACTCTATTTTAAAATGTTTAAAAATGAAAAAAAGAAAATGTTAAGGATGACAACTGGTATTGGTAGTGTCAAAGAATCTAAAGAAGAACACTAGTTCTTCAGTGTTGAGTGAATATGAAGAAAAAACCTACTGAATTATGAAACTAGCTAATAATTTATAAACTTCTAGAGTATAATACACAGTTGGGTGGCAGAAATCAAACCTAGGCTCCAAGGAGTGAGGAGGCATTGAAAGTAGCTTGTCTTGATAAATATAAACTCATCCCAGAGGAAGGTTTGAACTGGAGGGACTTCTAGAGTTTGTCTAGCTGTGATGACTGAAGTTCTGAAGGATTTTTCAAGAAAGAGTTGGATCCAACACTCAGCTCAACCGACTTCTGGGATCAATCCCTTTCTATGATCCAGTTACTCAAGATACTTATTTATAGGAGAAAGAAAGTAGTAGAGAGAAGGACAGACTTATTTCAAGGACGAAAACATCTTGAATACATTTGTAAGGCCAAGAAAAGTTGGTGGAAGAGGAGAAGCTGAAATTGCACGAGTGTTTAGGGATATGCCTAAGGCGAAAGCTTTGATTTCACAGGAAATCAGAAAAAAGTAGGAAAATAGAGAAACCATAGCCTCAAGTGAAGTTCCACTGGCCACAAATGCAAAGCAGGCACGCAAGATAAAGTCCTTATTTTAGCACCTGCACTCAACCTAAACCAGCTAGGGTTCTAAAGCATATTTGCATTTCAGTCAGCTGGAAATTCACAGTAAGTATTTCACTGAAACAAAAGCATAATAGGTAGTTTTCTAGATAAGCCACAGACACTGACTCAGCCCACCGTCTGAGTACGTTTTAGCTGGAGTTCTAGTTTTGAGAAATGGAGAGATGATTGGCGCAACAGAAGGAAGGAACAGAAGGGTGTAAGATCCTTTACACCCAGGGATCTCATTCTGTCCTAAATCCATCAAGGCCTTAAATCCACCAAAAATGTCTCAAGTACACAACTGCCTAACTCTCCTCAAACAAACAAACAAAAAGTCAGTTTATTAAACTGCAACACATGTTGGCTACATAATGGAAAGAAAGTAATTTCATCATTAATTCTGAAGCTTGAATGTACATTAGGCTTTCCTGAGGTACTTGGTGAAAGATATTTCCAGGGCCTCCCCCACAGGCAATCTCATTTAGGTGGTCCTTCAACCACACTTAGGGAAACACAGCACTATGATTTTCTGGTTTTGTTTTTTAAGACAATGCTTGTTAACACAAATGAATCTTTGATTCAACCAAAGATAAGTACTTAAGAAAATGGAGCATTTCTTATAGTATGAAGGAAAACATTTGTGGGCAGAAGAACAAAAGAAGCAGTTTGGCCCAGTTTAAGGCAGTACCCCTAGGATCCTCCTCCTGTTATATTTTAATACTTAACACACACCTTCATTTCCCATTCATGGGTAAGGACATGGACACTGGAATCACATACTGAAGGGAAAGGGAGATGGTGAATTCATTCATTTATTAAAGGCTTTTCATGTGGATTTTTCTAAGCCCACTGCTTATCTAAACTTCTGTTTAAAAAGCTTCTACAAAGGCCGGGCACGGTGGCTCAGCCTGTAATCCCAGCACTTTGAGAAGCCGAGGCGGGCGGATCACGAGGTCAGGAGATCGAGACCATCCTGGCTAACACGGTGAAACCCCGTCTCTACTAAAAAATACAAGAAAAACAAAACGGGCGAGGTGGCGGACGCCTGTAGTCCCAGCTACTCGGGAGGCTGAGGCAGGAGAATGGCTTGAACCTGGGAGGCAGAGCTTGCAGTGAGCCGAGATCGCACCACTGCACTCCAGCCTGGACGACAGAGAGAGACTTCATCTCAAAAGAAAAAAAAAAAAGCTTCTACAGAGAATTCATTTTTTCAGAATTCTCTGAAATTCTGAGAAACATTATTTTATTCAAAACTGAAGATAGATTAGCCCATTACCTATACGTGATTATTCAGTGGAATCAATAATTACTAAAATATACAAATACGCAATCCTACAGCACATTATATGTAACCAGTACTGATATTCCACTCTTGTGCTTTAGGACAGGCAGGACAGTTTTTCAGGTCTGATCTGATTCATTGGACATCCATACCACACTAGTTTATTAATATTTTGGTTCTAACTCCTGCACATACCTCTATATTTGGGAGTCATTATACTGCATTTCATTTGCAGATATGTTTCACCTCACCTAGAATTTTGTAAGTTCTTGTAGGGTAGGGTGGAAGGGTTTCTTAAGCAAATTTGTATTGTGTACAGTACTGACTCAGGGGAGGTGAGTCAAGGACTAAATATCCATGGTATTCATCAATCAGTAAAGAAATTCTCATAGCTCTACTGGGCAGTAAGAAGGCCCAATTTTGTCAGTTTCAATTTTAACTTAGAAGAATAAATAAGGTATATTTATCTGTAAATAACTCACATGACAAGGTCAACCCCTCAGCTTTCTGTTATCTAACTGTATTCTATTTGTGCTTCTGCCCTTTACTGAGAGGCTGTATTTGATATTCTCAAAAGATTTTCTTCACTGAGATTGGTTCTCAAAAACTTGAGGAATGCGTTTTCATTAAGGTCAGTTGTACTTTTTTATTAAAAAAAACTTTGTGAATTAGCTGCATTTTATTCATTTGAACTATGATCACTCATACCTAGAAGGAAAAAATAGTATATCGTATGTGTGTGTATATGCACATACTATATATATATATATAGTACTATATATAGTATAGAAGACAGTATAGTCATTAGCATACTGGGCATTCTAAGTGTTTCTCTTTATTGGCTTCAGTGTCTTTCTCAAGTAGTCCATCTGACTTATTTTCTGATAAGTAGCAGGCACCTTCCTCTTTCCCACTACGTTTTGTTAGACTAACAAATAATGACATATTCCTGAAAGGGAAAATGGAAAAGGTAAAAATAAAAATAAATAAATAATGACATACCAAGAATAAAAGATTAGAAACTGAAAAACTGGGGCCTGTATAACTCACACAAAGGCCATCAACCTTTGTCTTCACGGATGTATATATTTTTTTCTTTCATTTATATTAAGTGGCTGGTTTATATTTAGATTATCTCAAGAGGAAGGGAAACAACTGTGTATAGGGATTCACAGAAAAATAAACAATCAGCTGAAAAGGTCTAACAAAACGTTGACTTTGAAAATTTCACTTATTTTCCTTGAAGTTTTCTACCCTTCCCATCGATGATAAACCAAGATCATACAATGGAAAATTTCAAACCAGGGTTAAATTCTAAAGTAAAGCTTCAATTCAAGCCCTTTCCCTACAAGAATTAATTTTCCTGATTTCTCCTTCTCTCACATCTAAGGAGAACATTTTAGGAGATTAAATTTCAGAACTTCAAGGTTCCATCCAGGTTACCTTTATGTCCTTTTCTTTAGGGAACCACAATTCTACCTATTCTACATTTCCTAGTGGAAGTACTTATCACCAGAGGGCTAGGCAAAGTCACATGTCCCTTAATTAGGAGTATAGAGCTAAAAATCTGGTGTCTGATTATTAAATGTGCACAATATTTGGGTGTAATCGGCATTTTAAAAATTCAGTAATGTCCATTATAAATAACTTATCTAGACAGACTCAATAATAAAAATAACTGGTTAAAATAAAACGAACCACCTGTTTAATACATAAATATCTTGATAAGAATGAATCATTGTGACCTGGGAGAGTCTTTTCTTCATACCCCTGCACTTCATACCCCTGCACTGGAGGATTTCTCCCCTCAATCTTTGGTGCTCTCTTTTCTTTCTATTGAGTTAGTTACAACAACATGGTGATAGGTTTTTCAAGGTACTTTCTAAACTCAGCAAGCCACTGGTCTCTAACTGCTCCATCCACCACCTGGTGATCACAACTGAGTGTAACAGACATCATGCTAGCCACATCAAACCCTTTTTCATTATCTGTGGGAACCAGTTTATCCTCTGAAGCACCAACTGCCAAAATACATGCTTGAGGTAGGTTAATAATAGCAGAGAAATTCTTAATTCCAAACATTCCTAAATTGGAGATCGTAAAAGTGCCACCCTGGAATTTGTGTGGCTGTAGTTTACCCTCTCTTGCTTTGGTTGCTAAAGAAACATCATCATTAGTAATGGTTTCCAGCCCTTTTATATGTGCATTAAACACAATAGGTGTGATGAGTCCTATAGGAGTACTGACTGCAACACTGATATCAACAATGTGATTTTGTCTCATAACTGTGTCCATCCAAGAAGAATTTGCTTTGGGAACTTTTAGACATGCCAAAGCTGAAGCTTTTATGATGAAGTCATTGACAGAAATTTTGCTTCTCCCTTCTAAAATCTTACTAAGTTCTTTCCGTACCAACAAAACTTCTCCCATATTTACATCTATAGAAAGGTAATAATGAGGTATGGTTTGCTTTGATTGCATTAATTGTTGTGCAATAACCTGACGAATGTTGCTAATTGGGATATCTGTGAAGACATCTGTAGGAACTGGTGCCATTCCAGGACCTGTGGGAGGCACAACAGCTGCTGGAGCAGGAGCAGCTTTACTAGGCACAAAAGAGTCAATATCCTTCTTGGTGATTCTACCATCTGGTCCTGTACCTTTTACTTGTGTAAGATCAATCCCTTTCTCTACTGCCAACTTCTTTGCAAGAGGGCTAACAAACACCCTTCCCTTTGGTCCAGCAGGAGTAGCTGGGCAGGGTGCTGAAGGTGTAGGAGCTAAAGGCTGGGGAGTTGGAGGAACAGTGGCCACCGGGGGTGGGGTAGGTGGTAGTGCTTGTGGTTTTAAATCTGTTACTTCAGTTGGCCTATAGTCAGCAAATGCTGATATATCTGCCTCTTTTTCTACAATGATACAGAGTGGGGTTCCTAGAGGGACATCTCTTGTGCCTTCAGGGACCAGGATTTTTGCCAGATAACCTGCTTCCTGTACTTCAAAACCTATAGTGGCTTTGTCAGTCTCTATCTCTGCCAGTAAGTCTCCTTCACTTAGCTTCTCACCCACTTTTTTTTCCCATCTCTGAACTGTGCCCATGGTCATGGTGCGAGAGAGGGCAGGAAGAAGTACCTGCATGTGAGGGGGATATGAGCTACCAGGAGCCTGAGCAGAAGGTGTAGGTGGTGAAGCAGTGGCAGCAGGGGTTGGTGCTGGGGCCGCCTGTGGGGTAGGTGCTGCTGAGGAATCCAATGTATAATTTTTAAAAGCCTCAATATCCTCAGGCTTGCCAACTGTGATACAGATGATTGCTCCAATGGGAACATCCCTGGTACCTTCAGCAACAAGTATCTTTGCCATATAACACTCCTCCAGGCTCTCAAATCCAACAGTGGCTTTATCAGTTTCAACTTCTGCAATTAGGTCACCTTCGTTGATTTTGCCCCCCTCTTTTTTTTCCCAATGGGCTATGGCGCCTGACTGCATTGTGGGGGAAAGAGAAGGCAATGGAACCTTCTGATGCGGGGGAAGACTGTAACAGCGGTGGCCGGGTGACCCCAAAAGCTGCAGCAGTAAGCGGTTCCGTGGCGTGGCCCCAGAGCTGGGGGTCCAGCCACACAGTGCCTGGACTCCGCCATATCCTGTAGTCGGATGTATGTTTTTTAAGACATCCATGTTGTATCAATAGCCTTTTTCTTTTTATTGCTGAGTAGTAATTAATGGGTTATGGAGGGAGTGAGTTACTTACCAGGAGAGTGAGTCTGTTATAAAAGCCAGTCTAGCCAACTCTCACGAGCCCCCTCACCATGTGATGCCTTGTACCATCTCAGGACTTTGTAGAGAGTCCCACCAGCAAGAAGGCCCTCACCAGATGTGGCCCCTTGGCCTTGGACTTCAGCCTCCAGAACTGTAAGGAATAAATTTTTTCTTATAAATGACCCATTCTTTAGTATTCTCTTATAGCAACATAAAGGGTAAGACACCTAATCTCAATCTTAATCTAAATTTTAGAAAAAAGAACATAAAAGAGAAATATAATTCCAGGTACAGTGGCTCAGACCTTTAATCCTAGCAATTTTGGCGGCCGAGGCAGGAGGATTGCTTGAGACCAGGAGTTTGAAACCAGTCTGGACAGCACAGAGAGACCTCATCTCTACAAAATTGTTTTTAAAAAATTAACTGGGCACGATGGCACACACCTGTTGTTCCAGTTACTCAGGAGACCAAGGCAAGAGGATCACTGAAGCCCAGTAGTTTGAGGTTACAGTAAGCAATGACTGTGCCACTGCACTGCAGCCTAAGCAACATAACAAGATCCTCTCTCTCAAAATAAATAAATAAATAAATAAATAAATAAATAAATGAAAAGAAAAGGAAATATAAAGAATAAAATGCTATCTTGAGAGGAAATGAAACAGTTCAATGTTTAACAAAGAGTTTCTTGCTGTTAAGTTTGACAATAGAGAACCAAATTTATTGCTTGGTATATATTTAATTTTCATCAGAAAATGTGTTAGAATAGAAAAAAGTTTTACTGGTTGTGACCTATGTTGTTCAATAACAATAGTGACAAGCCCTCTCTAGGCTGGAGAGGACAAGTTGCAAAATTTAATTGGAAAAAAAAAAAAGAATAGGCATATAATAATGAAATAAAGGAAAGGGATAGTTCTTCAGTAGATCTGACAGACTGTGATTCAGCACGGCAGGGATTATGGATCACAGCATCCAGAAAAGGGATGCTTGATGGAATGTGTGACTCTTCTCAGGTAACTATCTTGCTTGGTTAAAGGTTTCCTCTCTCACTGGAATTATAAACAAAGGTTAGGAACCTCCCTCTTGCTAAACCCCAAGGCTTCTCCTAAGTTTTTGTCTACTCTGATCTGCCTGCAGTCCCTCATTGTTGACCTCTCCTTCCTTCTCACAGCCCTGACCTTGGCTTCCACAGTATAGCATTCATCGCACTGGCCTCAAGCCTTTCCATCATTTAGCTCTTGCTTCTTTTGTTTCGTTGGTTCTTTTCTTCATACGCCCGCACTGGAGGATTTCTCCCCTCAATCCTTGGTGCTCTCTTTTCTTTCTATCTACTTGCTCCTAAAGAAATGGCAATGACTCCTAAGTCTACACTCTGAACCCCAACCTTTCATCCATGCCAGAGTCCATTTTTTCCAACTGCCGATAAACATTATAATTTGGATATTCCACCATCACAGGAAGCCTAACTAATCCCAAAAGGAACTCATCTTGCCCAGCTTCTGTCTTCAACCAACAGGTTTCTTTATTCATCGCCTTCACAGGTGTTAATGGCTTGACTTTTCTTTTACTCCAAACCATCGGAATCATCTTTGACTGTGTTCTTTCACCTCCAACCCGTGAGCTGTTACAACTTGACTTTTCTCAAGTGAAAATGTTCCCCACAATTCTTACTGCTAACAACCAGAACTTCAGTTGACACGTGTATTACTATAACTGGGCCTGGATAACTCTTGCCTCTACTCGTATATCTCTTAAATCTATGCTTAGGGTTAATCTTGTTAAGAGAAAAAAACAGTCCTAAAATACCACTTTCATCACCTTTTCCCCTTTCCCTATTTTAAATTACATCAAGTCCCAAGTTCTCAGCTCCACTATCTGACTCCACTCTTCTCATTCAACACTCCCTACTGCCCTCCGATACAAAAATCTCTATTTCCCTTCAGTAAGTTATTTCTCACCTGCTCCCATTCCTCCCTCCCAATCTCAGGAGTCATCAACTCTTTGTTTTTGTTTCTATCATATTTTTTTTCTGTCAACAGAAACAGGGATTGTTACTTCAGAGAACACTTTTTAAAAGACCACTAGCCTGGTTGTAGTACAAAACGGATTTGCCAAGAGGAGAAGCGGGAGCTAAAACTGGACAGGTAGATTGGGGCTGACTAAGAAGGTCCCTAAGGGCAAGTGCATCACAGTCTTTTCTCTTAGACAGTTAGTTCTCAGGCAAAAACACTGAAACAATCATCAAATTATGGTAAAGCCCAGACAAGCAAAACAAAATACGAAGGTCTCCCTTGTGACCACCACGTATGAGATTTGTAAGAACAAACATGGGGACTGTTCCCTGCCATGGGAACTTTGCCACTGTCTGCCTCAGATGAAAGCAGTTCCTCTGCTTTCATACATTAACCAAGAGGCTCAAAAGCAAGGTGGCAACAAGAACGAACTCAGCTAAGTTACTTCTCTGACAAAAGTCGGAAAGACTTCTCAGTTGCCCAAATCAGCCTGTGCCAACCTGGAATCCTCATTATCGAAATCTTTTGCAATAAGAAAGCTGTCTTGATTAAAGTTTTAAAAATTGGTGGTTCTGAAAAGAATAAAATTTTCATAATGAGTTATTACGAAATCTGTGAAATGGGTCAAAAATGCATAAGGAAGAAGCAGAACCACAGGTGACAATCAGCCTTCTCATCCAGCCTCAGTAGTCATCCTGGAGTATTGCTCAAAAGTCAAAGAGGTGTTAACAGATTCTGTGAGATGATTGTAGAGTTTTCTTGAAACAAAGGGAGCTGACCCAGCATATCACACACAGCCTCTACTTCTTGAGGCAAAGGAGTACAGTGAGTTGCTACCCAAGTTATCCAAGAGAATAACAACAACGCCTGCTAACTGAAGGCTCTGGGTCATGTACTGTGCTAGGTATTCCACTGACATTATCACATTCAATCTTCCTAGCAGCTCTATCAGAGAAATGCCATTATCTTTATTTTACAGATAAGGAAACTGAAGCTCAGAGAAGTTAAGGAACTTGCTCCAGATCACATAGTTATTAAGCTGTAGAGGAAGTGTTCAAAGTTCAGGGTTCCAGTCTATGCCCGTCATGATAGCACACAGCTTCCCAGTGTGAAGGGCAGTAAGAACAAGATGGTGAAATGAATTTTGTCAATCAACCAACATTTATTAACAGCACACTAAGCACTATGCTGGGCTTAATTGTGAATGGTAGGCAGAAAATACAGGGCTGGAGACTCACCTCCACCCCATCCCCATTTACTGCTCCTAAAATCCCTATCCTATGAAAAACATCACATGAACTACATTGCAACTAATTGCCAGGAAACTATAAGTGGACCTAACAAAGCATATGAGCTGATAGTCTTAAATTCTAAGTATATACAGAATTGTAAGTGGTAGCCTTTAAACATATGCTACCAAGCTGATATATAATGAACTGAAATCAAAACTACTATTATACAATAATCAGCCCACATGACTTTTCATAACAAGTGTGATTTTAATTGGATTAAGGAATTTGTAGCATGTTTTTCCTCTAAATAACCCACATGAAAATACTTATCATTCTTTAAATGTTTTTGTTCACTTCCTCCTATATGGGAACATAAAACTATGGAAAATACTAGCAAGAATCATACAGCTGGGAAAGAATTTTAGAATTACCTAAATCTAAATAACCTAAATATACACTAAATCTACTACTTACATTCAGGTAATGAAATAAGCAGATGAGTATTTCATTTTCCTTTAGCATCACTCAGAGTGAAATCACAAAAACCTTGCAGAAGTTATCTACTTTTGCTTAACCCTTTCATTAAAAAGTAGGAACTAAAAATGAACAACACATTGTAATGTGATGTTCACATTACATTACGCAAATATACACAATAAAATGTATTTTTTTTTTTTAAGACAGAGTCTCGTTCTGTTATCCAGGCTGGAATGCAATGGCACTATCTCAGCTCACTGCAACCTCTGCCTCCCGGACTCAAGCGATTCTCCTGCCTCAACTTCCCAAATAGCTGGAATTACAGGTGTGCACCACCATGCCTGGCTAATTTTTGTATTTCTTTTTAGTAGAGACGGGGTTTCACCATGTTGTTTAACATTTATTTTAAAAATAAAATAAAAATGGTGAAAGTCTTTAGGTTTGCTAAAGCAAAGATGGAATAGTAGAGTTATGTGTAGCTCACAAGTTATGGTAGTTTTTATCTGAGGTCAATGGAGTGAAAAGACATCTTGGGCAGATCTGAGGCATGTCCTGGAATGGTATGGAATAACACTAGTAATCAAAAGACCAGAACCTGGGTTTGAGCTCTGCCAACTTGCTCTGTGACTGGATATCAGAGCAACTTTAATCTTTGAGTCTCTATTATCTACAAAATGGAGATAATATATGTCATTTAAAAGAGTTTTGGGAAGGGCCGGGCGCGGTGGCTCACCCCTGTAATCCCAGCACTTTGGGAGGCCAAGGCAGGTGGATCACTTGAGGTCAAGAGTTCGAGACCAACCTGGTCAACATGATGAATCCCCGTCTCTACTAAAACTACAAAAATTAGCCAGGCATGGTGGAGGGCCCCTGTAGTCCCGGCTACTCAGGAGGTTGAGGTAGGAGAATTGTTACCAGGATTCGGAGGAGATGGCGGTTGCAGTGAGCCAAGATCCTGTCACTGCACTCCAGCCTGAGCAACAGAGCAAGACTCCATCTCAAAAAAAAAGAAAAAAAAAAGAAAAAAAAAAAAAGAGTATAGGGAGGATTAATTGGTTAACTTTAAGCACTACATAGTCTAAAGACTTCACCTGAATAGATTGGGAGCAATAAGACAAGGTGAACTCCTGGAGGGCAAAGAATAAATGTTATTTACCTATACCCCACCACAACCCATAAGACCACACAGTTCTAGCCAAATAGGCCAAATTACACTATAAACGGATTTTTGAAA